CCAGGCGAAAGCGATAACGCTACAATCGGAACCACGCCTGACGCCGCATCCGCGCATTCACTAAATATAAATGAGTTTCATTCATTATTACGCGGTCAGCTTACCAAACGCAAGTAGTTGGCGGTTCGGATGGCCGTGACGAATCGTGAAAGACCAAAAGTCGTAGCATACCCTGTTATTGTTTCCATAGATTTCCAAGACATAATTACGCGGCCACTTCAATGCAAGTAATTGTAAAGAAAATATTTCAAATTTGTGCCCAATTTGCTGTTTGTGTAATGAATCAAATAATCAGCTCACTTATAAATTCAGATCTTACATTTAATGTTGACTACTTAACCAATCGTTTTTGATTATAATATTAATCAGTGTTAAATTTTAATCTGCTACAAAAGTTTAATAGACAATATAATAGAAGAATATAAAAGAAGTATATGAATAATAGAATTTAAAAGAAAATCTTTGAAAAATTTCATTTTAGGTTTTCATTTTAGATTTAAATTGAATACCGACATATTATTTCATTTACAAACAAAACCGTTCTTTCAGAGTAAGGACTGCCTATTTATTGATTCATTCATAGGGCCCAGCGTATTCTTAAAGGTATGTTCAAGTTATATCTCAAACAAGAAACATTACATAACTTTTTATGTGTCACCAATTTAGGCGTCGCAACGCAAAACGTGACGAAATAGAAACATCCATGCATTAAAGCCGAAAGCAGAAAACAAACAAGTGAGTTTCGAATCTGCTATTGGGTCTCAATATGAGATCTACTGACTTCGAAAAATTATCCTTAGCGAACGCGATACCAGAAGACGTCAGTTATCATTTTACTGGCATTACATGAATTTCTTTTTCGAGCCAAGTATTCTTACCAATAAATGTTAAAGGATGTGCCGAACAGACAATGATGTTACGTAGTGTTTTGTAATGACTTTTAATAACGTCGATGGCCTGTCACTTAAATAGGAGATGGCCAACGGGCCGTCGTATTGTGTACGTACAACTCGAATGATACCCAATTGAGCGCAATTCTTACTCATATAGAATTGGCGAAAAGGACATAGTCTGCTATCTCTGTCTAATCGGCTTGGTTAACGTGATCTTAATAAGGCGCTAACATCTCACAAAACGCTCTTGAATTCATACTCGATGAATATCACAAGTTTTGCATGAAAACTGTTTATTTTTAGTTGCAAAATTTAATTTACTATGTCAAATAAATAAGCATAGTTATCGATTTAGATTGTGCGAACAGTTGATAGCGTGTTATTGAGATTAAATGAAATAGATGCTTGTTTGACACATTTTGCGATCATATTTTTTATGTATATACATAATAAAATATTACTATCATTATACTGATATCTCTGAATTGTTCCTCCTTTTCTACAGCTTTTTATCCTATACAGGTCAAATCTATACACCGCATATAACATACTCTAAAAACCGTAAAAAATACTTTTCGAATGCTAAAGCACTTTCTCTTGTTATATCTTAATTTATCTGTGCACCGAACCCCAACTGCTCTAGGCTACAATTAGGTTGTATGGCAGAAAATTCCTTTTGCATTAAGTTCACCTCACTACAGAGATATGTTTTTGTTTAAAGTTTTAAATAACTTTACATCCTACTCCTGTTAAAAATCACGTTTCCAAGCCTATAACGACTTTATCTGGGCTCTGTCTATCAGCCGGTCAGTATTCGTTTAGGCAGACGTGTTATGAGTGTACTGGGTTGTTATTAAAACGTAAGCCAATATCTGATGCGAGGTCACGCCTCGACAATTGGCGGGGGTCGGGGGGCGCCCGCGCCCCTGGTAACTGGGTCAAAGACACAATTGTATTCCTATAAAGCTATATGCTGAGGGACGTCTACTAAAGATGAAAGTGCGTTACCAAGGAGGGCCTATTTATTTAATTATTTAAGAAACTTTTTATCGTACAATGGGGGACTTAACACCATTCCGTGTTCTCTACCGGTAAACCCACAAATAAAGGGAGAAAATAGGGAGGTGAAAGAGTCTATCTTATCTCACTGGTCTTAAATCAAAGTTGAAATATTTTAACGACGACCCTAAACAGCACGACAGCACCAAAACACAACCAATTAATTTAGATATTCAAGATATTTTATCATCACACATTTTACTCATATAACATTAAAAAAAGGTAATGGTTAACGGTCTAATTAAATTCGCAGTCCTTATATAACTGACGTTTGCCCTTGCAAAATATGATATCAAGGCGTCAATCACATCGGGGCTTCCCGAACCACCACTTGACCACTTGTCAAAAGGTTTTTGAAACTAACTAGCGTTTAGAAATTCATATTTATTTTCTTTAAAGCATCGTGCGCAAAGAGATAACAAAAAACATTTTAAAACAAAAAAAATCATATTTATCAATTTATTTTATTACTTCAACGGTACAGTTAGCTACCGTCATTTGAGATAAGGTTTAGCCCAAAACGTCAAGTAGGGATATACCTTTTATTTAAATCTCTTAAACAATAAATGTTACCGTGGTTTGGGCCTCCTACCAATGAAATTTCATAAAACAGAACCATCTGTACATAAAGTCTCACATAATCTTGTCGCGGCGTGGGGCCTAATCCACGACCAGCCGTTCCAAACCCAACACCTTGGCAACTGTTCCACCGCCAAAGGCGACTACGCGCGTTTGGTTAGAACGAGTGAGAAAAAACACCCACACGACCTCGGCCGCGCCTAACATCTTGCCATTATTCGAAACAAGGCGCCGACCGTGACTTGCATCTGGCACACATACGTTTAGTGGTACGTTCGTGACTCCAATGCCGATGCGGAGTCTGGAGTGAAATCGCGAGTGCTATTAGAATTGTTCTCGTCTTGCGAATCGGTTTCGGACCGTGAAATTGGGGCGGACGACGGGTATCCGTACCGGGGAGACTTACAACCGCTTCCTTTAGGAGTAAGGTTCAAAGGTTAGATTGGTTCATGCCTAGGAAATCCACCAGAAGGACATCCAGTTGCCTAAGCTCCTCGAAGAAATGCCTCAAATTTTCTGAGAATATCTATTAGTTCTTTGGTGGGGACAAACCATTCATATAACAACAGAAGCTGATATTAATGTACTTTTTAGTTCAAACATTCCCGCCACTATAGGAAACATTAAATCGTATCGTACACAACAGTTTGTGAACCTGAAATGATAACTATTGGATTATTAGAAATAATCTTCACGTGTCCCTAAAAGGGCGTGTTAAAAGTGTCGTGTGAATAACACCTCCTACTTATTTTATTTTGCACAAGTATATACATATTAATATTCATGTGCAAAATAAAGGACACATGCCCCAAAGTTGACACAATTACCAATCCTACTGGGAAGGACAGAATCTCAACAATTCATTCATAATGATGGCTGTAGTGTTTTCAAACAAAACCAGTCACAACGGTCAACAAACTTCGCAAAACTACGCGTCGATTCGAAAACAATTAAAACAACCGTAAACAATTAAAACAACCGTTAATGCTACATCGTAAACTTGCTAGTGCCTTACCCATACTCGTAATAGTCTCTAAAGCTTTCAAGTTTCTCAAAGTATTGCGTTATTGCTTGGGGCTACATGGGTAGTCCAAAGAGTCCATGTTTCCATGGACTCTTTGGACTTACTTACGTAAGAAATGTTTTAGAGATGCCCTAAGAAATACCCGTCCACTTGGATGTTCATGTTAGATTCCAATAAGAATTACAAGTGCTGCAAGCTATCCTTGTTTTAATTAAATTCCAGCTCTCACCTTGGAGAGCGTAGGTGGGTCTGATTCGCTAAGCTTATTAAGTCCGTAATATGTCGAGTCTGTTACGTCTGAACAGTGGGCAACAGGAAAAGAAAATGGAACACAAGATGAGAGGCGAGAGGCTGCACGACAAATATGTTTTCAAACAGCAGACATTGTCCAAAGTGGCTATGAAGACAGAGTAATATCGACAGAACGCCCCCAGACGATCGAACAATCGATGTATTTAATAACCATAGACGTCGAGACGATCAATTGATCGTGCGGTCGTAACCGAAACTAACGCCATCAGAATTCGCACGGCTCATGAGAAAAGTTTCAGACGTGCTGTATTGCAACGCGCCCGGCATCATTAGATAGCGTCGAAAAATGTCTCCTGGGCAAAAGTGTCAGCATCAAGTCATCGGTTTAGGAGCAAAGCGTCCATCAGTAACCGATTGCGAGATTCTAATCTTTCACAGGTTTCATTCATAAAAAGAGGTTTTCAATTCGTTGTTATTTTATGTTTATTACTTCAGAACTCTGTCATTTAATGGCGGATTTTAATAATTCTTTCTGAATTGGATTCCGTTTAGCATGGTTTAGTTTTACATGGGACAGAACCTATATTAATTTCTATGGTATTGTCCCTTGGACTCTGGAGAGTCAGGGAACTCCTCAAAATGGTATAAAAATGTAACCGTGATTTGGATATTTGAAGCCGGTTTTGTCTTTGTTAATTTTTAGATTATGTATAATTTAGAGTGGCTTTAGATTTGTTTCGCCAGTTATTTCTTCTTATTATCATACATTTATGCCACCACCTGACGGAATTAGTGACGGATACTTTTGTGCTGAGTGTTACGTAATTCATTTTTGGCATTAAGTGCGAAACTGAAAACCGAACGGAATTTTAGAGATCACTAAACAGTGCGAAACAGTATACAATTAAATATATATTTTACGTTCCTGAAACTACTTATATGACCATTTTACTCTTGAATTTATATATTTTGGAAAGATCTGCAATCGAACATCTTCTAACTGATAGCAAACTACCACGGAGATTTCCTTCGTGACATTCGATTTTAATCAAACAAACATAATCTAATCAAGTCAAATATTTCCTATTTGTATATATAAGTTATGTCATAAATCATTTCGCATACTTGGTAAGTCTGATTCAAGAACACTCATACCATTCCCGAGGAACGAACTGTTATTATTTACTATTCCAATGCCACAATTCAAATGCTCCGAGCATGACCGAAACACGAGGGTGAGTGATGTTTTCGACGTGCTAATATCCAGCTCGTTAAATGTCGTGAGTGTCGATCGGTGACGCGTTCGCAGACGGAAAGATTGTCTCCCTTAGTCTCAATCAGGTCTCACTGAAAATCATCTGCTTATTGTGATATCAGTTTTACGATATCACGAGATCGCTGGGTATTTTCTCTAAGCTAAGCTCAAAGAAAAAGTTCTGTATCGGAATCAGGCTTTGGAAGCGCCAACTCGTGCTGTCCGTAAGCACGTAACTCCTATAAAGTCTTAAATTGTAATTGTGTTGGGGACTTCCTATGCTGTCATAAAACGTCTTCCGCACTGGGCATTAATCATACGAACGGCGGGAGATTTAAATTAAGGTAACGAATAAACGAAATAAACCTAGTCTGGACAAGGCTCAAGACTCGCTGATTTATTTGTAGGTCACACAATATTCGCTCATATGACCATCGAAAGATATCAACCATCGGCGCAGTCTAGTCGAGTCTTATTGGAGACAAACGATCGATCTTTTCTCAATATGCTTAAGACTAACTCAAACGCTGACATGAGTAATGTATATAATATAGGGCCGTCATGGTAAATCAACACAACATTTAATGAGCACTCACCAAGAGATTGTCGACGGAATTGTAACCGCATATCATGTATCCCATGACCCTGTTCGCCATGGTAAGCTCCATGCGGGCACTGTCACTGAGCACTGATTACATCGTCGCAACACTTGGCAATGGAACCGATCACCGGCTCACGCGGCGAGCGATGGACGGGCAACCCGCACTCCCATCGAAACAAGCGAGCACAGCACGTCCCGACTAATTAGAACCGCAGGGGCGAAAATCGACCTTAAGGGGCGTGGGCTGGGAGCAGCCCGACGATACCAGCATTCCGAACACTGCGAGCGATGGAACTCGAATTGAACTCGCCTCGATCAGTCAAACTCGACGGCAACTTGGCACCCGAGGCGTCGTGATAAGAGCGTCGCCCGTAATTGCACGCACAAAGAGGCTATTGTGCGGCGTGCTGTGGCGTCGGAGGCGCGTGCGAGACTGATTGTGGACGGCCGTGGCGGCTTCCCATGGTGTGTGTACGGGAACGTATACCGCGCGCATGGGACGACGCGACGGGGCGGTCCGCCGTTTGCCGAGGAGACCGGCCGCTAATTGCCCTCGTAAAGCATCACCCCATTACTCCATTATAGAACTCAAACATTGCGGCAGAGATGAAAGACAAGATCAAGTGATACGAGTTCCTTGTGACGTAACACCGTATATTGCAGATCATACGAATTTCTCCTCGTCTTATCCACGCTGGATGGAATTGTGCGTGTTCGTCGTTAAAGTCACACTCGAAACCCATCGATTACGTTTGTCGCTGCAATAATACTCTGCATAAGCTAACAAATAGCTCATATAGGACTTTGACAAGTTCTATAAAAAAGATTAAAATCAAAAATATGTCAAGTTTTCGAGTCGGCAACAGAAAATTTCGACAGCGTCTTAATGTAACATGTAACCGCAGCGTTCCAACCTAATTAGTCTACCAACTGAACTTCAACCGCATCGTTAACTAACAGTTATCGGGCATTGGAATCGTTCTAATTGCAGCACCAAATCTGATTGATACCAAACGTTCTTGATACTCAAAGGTGATTAATATTCATCCGAACTTTGTTATGTTATACCAAATGCAAATATTAGGTAAGACGGTAAAATTGTAGGTACTTTGATCAATAAACCATACGTCAGACACTCAACCGTTTCAGTACGATAGTCCTTTTATACAAAACATAATAGTAAAGAATCAGAATCTTGCACTACTAAAAATAAGTAAAGTAAGAGTCTATTCATGTCCCACAGCTGGACAAACGCGACTCCACTGCGGATTGGCGAAATTCACATATTTTCGAGATTTTTTTTATTATTATTTAGATAATAACGCAGGTCCCTCTCCGTATTTTCAGGTGTCCTTTGAATCCCAAATTTTTAATGATCTAAATAACTTAAAAGCCGATAGTTTTGAACATTTTTTGAGATTGAAAAAAGCCTAATTGTAAATAATTATGTATCAATAAAGTATGTGTTATTAATCAATAAAGAAATTATCTCTGACTATTTTGCTATTAAAATTAAATAATAAAATTATTTAATTTATTTTAAAATAGCAACCAAACAATATATAGGTACTTATCGGTAAATAATCAGTAAGCGACGTTTGTTAACTAAATGGAGCGACCCAGAGTAGTTTTAACAGAGAGGTGATTAACCCGCTTAGAACTTTTACTATCGAAATGTAACTGCCTGAGGGATTGTGAATCCGTAAAAATAGGCTTTCCATTAAAAAGTCTTTAAGTTTAGCCCATAAAATGAAAGTGTTATATGATGGGTAAGATTTTGTTTTAATTAAATTAATACTTTCAAATAAATAATACAACAATTATTGGCGTTTTAAACAACGGTCTTAAATTCAAAACAAAGCAAAGCTTGGATGTACTATTGTGGACACATTTCATATACTTACTTTTATTATGTTATTAATTCATATTAAAGATACATAAACACCCAGACACTAGAAAAGACTGTCCCTGACAAAATATTTTTCTAGTAGCGAGGATTGAACCCTTCTAGCGCAAGAGACAGGTTTGCTATCCACTACGCCGATGGCATCATTGATATATACATAACCAATAGAAAGCGTCTGCTCACAAATATGCATAGCATCAAATTACAATATACAGTACATCATAAACGAAATAGACACGTGACAAAAATACGAGTAAGAGACATTTAGCGAAGACGGGACACGAATAACCTTGTGGCGGCCATGTTTGTTTGCCCGATTTATTACCTATAACGTTAAACAGATTAAAAATATAACATCACGGGCGGGACGTATGCGGGCGTGGACTCGTTGATCGGAGAGTCGGAGTTACGACATTATTGGCGCTTAAGGTACATTCATCGATACAAATCGTGAGAGACGAATCGCTGCGGCACATTCAGCGTTCGGTAATGCTTTAAGTAGTTTATGGAGAGAAAATTTATATACACACCAAATGACTCTCAAATAACGCAAGGCGATCATTACATTTTTTTTTACTTTTGGTGCTATCTGATATTATCTTCTTCTTTAATTTAAGCTAGGCTCTTGTCAGTGCAGCATCCTAGTAGTTCTCTGTTCATAGCCCTATCCTTTACCTCTCTATAGGAACCAACATTTATTTATTTTTTCTTTATTTGAGATGTATATCCTCGTATATCCTATCCTCGGTCTCCCTCTCTCTAACCCGCTTTCCTTCTATCCTTTCTTCCATGATGTTTAATGAATCTGTCATGTCTTACTAGGTGACTATCTGTCCTCTGTGGTTTTCTATTAAATTCATTAGACAAAATTCTGATATAATAGACAACATGTATTATAAATGTTCAATAAACGTTCTTTTCTAAACACAAACTTGAGATCGTGGGTAGATTACTCTTAAAAATTTTCGTTTTCGAAAAATATATCTTTGCTCCCAATCTAAACTAGACACGTATGGATCAGAAAACATGAAATGTTCGTTAGGTGCGTGTCCCTGTGTGAATATAATATAACAATATAACATGCAAGTTGTAAACAACAAATTATTCTCAATGACACAACGTAAAACTGTTACCAGGCGTGTACAGTAAACATTTAAAACGCCGAAGCAGAGATATGAGGGCTGAACAATTATTGTCCGCCCCTGTCATACACAACAAAGCTCCATTCTCATCCTTTTAAGAAGCGAGGACAGTAGACAGCCTCGAGCGCAGTCATCGACGTGGTCTCACCTAGCTAATATCCAACTGGTCTTCAGCCGCTACAAAGGCGTGTCATAAAGCGCGGACTTTTGTTATTTTTAGTATTTTCCCGTTCAACGCGCCCCAATTACAGTAAACGGGCCGCGCGAAACTTATTGTTATTGCGTTCGCGCTAAACCAAGGATTGTTTTTCTCGAGTTGGATAAATCGATCCCATTTTAAAACCGGCCAAGTGCGAGTAGGACTCGCACGCATGGGGTTCCGTACCATCCATACTATCTAATATATAAAATTCTCGTGTCACAGTTTTCGTTGCCATACTCCTCCGAAACGGGTTGACCGATTTTGATGAAATTTTTTGTGCTTATCCGGTATCTATGAGAATCGGCCAACATCTATTTTTCATCCCCCTAAATGTTAGGGGTAGTCCACCCCTAAATTTTATTTTTTATTTTTTAGACAAAATTTTTAATTTCTATTTTTTTATGATACAACATACAAAAATACATACAACCCTAAATTTTCACCCCTCTACGCATACGTAGTCGCGGGCAACAGCTAGTAATATTATAAATGCGAAAGTAACTCTGTCTGTCTCGCTTTCACGCCAAAACTACTGAACCGATTTAAATGAATTTTGGTACACAGATAGTCTAGAGCCCGAGAAAGGACATAGGCTATTTTTAAATTTGAAAAAAGTGTTGTAAAGGGGTCAAAATTCTTAATTTTTATTTAAGGGCTTTCAACCCGAGCGAAGCCGCGGGCGAAAAGCTAGTTATCTCTAAAACTGGCAAAGAATCATGTCTGTTGCATGGGAGCTGAACTTAAATAATTTTTGTCCTGTTTTTAAGTATTTGTTGCTACAGCGGCAACAGAAATACATCATCTGTGAAATTTTCAAATCCCTAACCATGACGGTTCATAAGATACAGCCTGGTGACAGAGGACAGACAGACAGACAGAGTGTTAGTAATAGAGTCCGATTTTACCCTTTGGGTACAGAATCCTGAATTCCTGACATAGTGCAAAACACATTTGTATCTATTAGAGAGACGCCCTTGACCTATTTAGCCGACGTCGGGAAAGATTAGTTACTATTAAATACTAAGAGCCCGATACGAATCTCAAATCTAACTAAAGTGAAGTAATAAATACCCATAAACCTTCCACTGCTAATAAATTCCACACCATCCTCATTGACATGGATACTTGAAAAAGGCGGGCACAGATGGCGTGGTACACGATTAAAATATGTTTGACCCAAATAAAACTATTTCCAAGTCTTGGTGGTTATTTACTAAAAAACTAAAATGAAATAAAACAGTTATCCCGCCGGCACATCCCTCAACAAATTAACTTTAAAGGAACGCCTGGTAACGGAGATTCCGACGGCTTCGCGGCCGTTATCGCTCCACGATAGCCGTGCACCACATGACCCCGCGTGTCTGCGCCCAAATGCGTGACATCGAAGCCAATTACGACGGGCCGTCTATCAATGAAGTTCAAACGGAGACACGCATCGCCACATGGCCAGGTTATGCGGGCGATAACGCGAGTCTTCTTAATGGCAGTCGCCGAGAGCTAAATAGGTAATGTCCTATCAATTGGCTAATTTCTTTACTTAGTTCATTTTTAGGTTATTTGCGACTGGTAGTGTTTAAAACTACTTACAAAGATTTCTTACATATCCAAACAAACAAAAGGAAGTTTTTTCAAACGCTTATTTTGTAACGGGGGATTCTTCTACAATCTTTTGAGAGGGGGACAAGTTTATGTGGTCATTTACAAGGTCAATAGGCGACGGTTATCTGAGCATCAGGTGAACCGTCTGCTCGCTTGACACCTTCTCACATAAAAGAAAACCTTTATTACCTACGCGGAGAACATTTCTCCGTTCGTCCGGGGTGATAATTTTCTTAGACTCCGATCTATGTATACACGTAGTGTGTTGACACCAGTCGCACGGCGCGGCGTGCCATCGCCTTTTAGCGGCCCATTGTCGGATGGCTAGTAAAATCGATCAATGTTGTGCCAACGCATTAGATCTGGATGTGTTGATTGCTCTTCGTGATCGCGAGCGTTAAACTTAAGATTTACGATACGCAATAGAAACGGTGTAACGTTGGTGTATATAAACGGTGTAACGTTGCTGTATATAAACGGTGTATAAATTAGTAAGTAAAAAACGTACGATATGTCTTCTTCACGTCCGTGAGCCTAAGAATAGACAGACGCAACGAAAGCTTTGGTTGTGTGTGGAATGTGTTGGACAGTAAGTCCCACCGGCCACTGCGATCTAGAAAGATCTATTTTACTCCTCCCTCGGAAGACATTGTTCCTTAATTATAGGAAAACATTATCCTATGTTGTGAGGACGT